CAAGTAACCCCATCTGATTTTTCCCTTTGAGTTTTGGGGAAAGTTTTTTCTCATTATATTATTATTATTATTATTATTATTATTATTATTATTATTATTATTATTATTATTATTGTTATGATTATGATGTGTCATTAACAGTACTAATAGCCATGAAAGTTTTTTTTTAAATATTCCCTAAAATCAAGGGAGAGATGGTTAGAACCAGTAATTGACTCCATGGTGACTAAGCACTTGTGAAGCCATCTTGTATAAACACAGATAATAAACTAAAATTACAGTGGGCATGGCATTTTATTTTTTGCCACCCCAACATCAAAAGGTTAATGGATGCAGTTAGGTAGCCCACTGCCTGAAAGTATAATTATTACAAGGGCAGTGCAACTGGAACTTGTTTTTATTAAATTCTTCATCCTTTGGCAATTAGAATTACTGCTTTGTAAATTTCTATCAAACATTTAAAAGGATAAAAATAATTTGTACTTAAGGGAATTGTGTAATTGGTCCAAGTGTAGTGTTTGTTTACTATGGTTATACCTAATTATATACATTTATTATTTAATTTTAATTATTTATTATTATTATTATTATTATTATTATTATTATTATTATTTTATTTTTTCCTCCATGGCTGTGATTTTACTTAATTGTGTTTCTTGGTTCTAGACGCACGACCCTCTGTGGCACTTTGGACTACCTCCCACCAGAAATGATTGAGGGGCGCATGTATGATGAAAAGGTGGACATCTGGTCTTTAGGTGTGCTGTGCTACGAGTTCCTGGCAGGAAAGCCCTCATTTGAGTCCACATCACAGTTAGAAACCTTCAGAAGGATTGCCAGGGTAGATATCAAATTCCCATTGCACTTCTCTGAAGAGGTCAAAGACTTAATCTGCAAGGTGAGTACATATTGTGTTTAACCCTATGATGCCAAGAGTGCATGTTTACGTGCACTGTCCTCTGAGTTTATTATTATTATTATTCCTATTGTTACTATTAATTATTATTACTATTATTGTTACCAATTATTATTACTAATTATTACTATTATTGCTCTTATTATTATTATTTTGCCTCTACGTAATGACCCTAGAGGTTTATTCATTCTTTGAATTTTCAAAAAGATTGTTATTAGTGAATATGATAATGATAATGATCATGAAATAAAATAAAATTATTAATGATAATATTGATGGTGGTGATAATGAAGGTAGTGATGATAGAAATAAAGGAAAAATGCTTCCCTGAAACTTTGAGGAATGAGGATCCAGTAGGCCAAGTATTCAACTCCGTGGTGCCAAAGTTTTTGTGAAACAGTTTGTGTAAACAATATTAATAAAACAAAACCACAGTGTATGTACCCAACACCAATGGGTTAAATCATATAAAGTTATTATGATTGTTTATATATATATATATATTTATTTATTTATTTATTTATTACTGTAGTTATTATTCAGATTTTTTTTGGTTTGCAATTATTTGTAAATTAGTATGTATGTATTTTCTTGACATTATACTTCTGTGGCATATAGTGCTGATTCAAATTGTTAACTTTTTTTATTTATCATTATCATTATTTATTTATTTATTATAATTATTTATTCAATTTATTTTTTTTTTCATTCCAGCTACTGCGGTACAACCCAAAGGAGCGCCTTAGTTTAGAAGGAATAATGGAACACCCATGGATTAAAATGCACTATGACCCCTCTGTTCCTCCACCAAATCCATGTGCCAAGTGAATTGTCAGGAAAGTTGGTGTGGCCCAAGTTCTTCTAAAGTTCCCTCCTTGCAAAGCATTAACATATTTTTTCCTCTTATTATTGTTATTTTTATCATTACCACAAATGAATAATTGGAATAAATGCTCTCAAATCCTGAGATAATGCTATTTTTCCTTTTTCTCTGTATCTATATGACACTGTACTTCCTTATCTTTATTACTTGGAATATATTGCTCTTTTTCTTTTATATTGGGAAATGTCCCCTTGTAAATGTGAAAAATGTACTGAATATTAACTAGGATGCTGGTGTGGCAGAAGTGTTTTGTGTGACGTTTTGTATGAGAAAATAAAATAAAAAACTTGTTTGAATGAGAATACAGATGTAGAACAATTTACAACATTGTATTTTTTAAATGGAGAAATTTTTGTGATTTGACTGCTGTAATGATACGGATTTTAACTGATCATTAGTGTGAGTTGTGCATTGTCAGGTTTTGGATTTATATGATAAGATTTTATAAAAGATACCCAATGTTTTTGGAGTCCACTGAAGACATATATAATCAGGTTGTTTTATGTTAGTGTATTATTTAGATTAATCTGTGATAAGACTTGATTTCTGTCAATCCTGTTATTTGTAATTTCACATTAGTCTCCCAGGATCATGAGAGGATGTGTACCCATGTTTACTTTAAGTATTTGTTAAAGAGGGTTTTGTATGAACCCTCAGAGTCACTTCTATTAGCTAATAAAAATGCAATAATAATGATGCAACTTGTATTTTCTTGTATTCATACCATGAGATCCTGCTAAGCATGTTTTGAAATAATTACTAGCACAGTGTTAAAGTACATTCAATGAATGATAAGTCAAATTTTGGTAGAATGGCTGGGTAAATGTAAATAGATATCTAACTGCCCATAATAAAAGCCTAAATAGATTATAAAATGAAAAGGTTTTATATATAGCAATCACCACCTCTACTCTTGAATCTCATTGCCCCTTCTAATGCCAGACTATTCTGAGCTGCTATACAACTTTTTATGTGTAGCACATATAATCATTAACCCTCTTCTTACTCTTTTCACTACTTTCCATAATGCTATATGACTTTGGATGTTGAGCAGATTTATTTTGCTCTTCAACCTTTAAGATATATAGCTTGTACTAAGCGGCAGAAAGGCCTATAGCAACATTAGCCATGTCACTTGAATTGAATACACAATAGTGTTTGTTTATCGTTTAAGTGGTGTTGTGTATAGATATAAATAAAAAATATGGATTGGCTGCAAGATTTTTTTCAATTTAGATGGGTCAAGATGATTGACTGTTTCTCTCCCCAACATACTCTAAGCTTACCATAGCCAAAAATGATTTCATTCCCTTGTTAGGGCAATGAGGCTTGCTCTTCATCAAATAGCACCAGTTCTCCTAGTTCTACCCCAAGCTCTCCTTTGACCACAACTATGAACACTGCAACTACAACACCCTCCTCAGTGCCCAAGTCAACACTCGACCTCCAGAAGACATTCCTACATTTACCACTCCCATCACTACAAATATCTTGAATACTCTTGTTAGTCCAGCCAGATGTGACTGATTTTCCTTGATCCCCCCACAGCTCCTCACTCTGACAACACTTCTCTACCAGTAATGTCTCCAAAAAAGTCTGCAGCCAGCCCGATTGTTCCTGTCTTGTTAAAGTTACATCCGATCAGTACAGTACTACATCATTCCTCCTAGAGGCCATCCTAAGAACCCCACCAATAGTGCCAAAATTACTTTCCGACATGACCTCCCCTTTAATGTTTACATTGGCACAGACTCCTTCCCTGTCCAACCATGTCAACCTCTCCGTCGGTGTCTAAATTGTTGGCATTTAGGACATGCCAAACACTGCCGTTCCAAAATGATCAAAATGCTCTGTACAATCAAACATGTGCCAACTGTGGTGGTCCCCATAATGTATTTTATAGTGTGAGGTGGCAACTCTCAGATTCAGACTTGGTCTCACTCTGCTGATGCCAGACAGTAAGTACATAGACAAGGTTTTTCTCTTGCTCCCTACTCCAATAATGTCTCTCACTCTCCCCCTCCCCCTCTCTCCCAAGATGTTCCTACACCCTCCCCTATAACTATATTTCCTCCATCGTACTTCCCCTCTTCTACCTCCTACCTCCCCCAGTCAAATTCTTTAACCATTCTAAATCCAGACACTCCAATCTCTACTAAAGCTACAACATCCTCTTTCCCTCCACGCACTCCACTTCCCGCAGCAAACAGACTAAACGTCCCATCCTTTCTCCTACCACACACTCACCTCCACCTTTGCCAGTCTCCTTTCCTCCCCTCATATGAAAACCTTCGTCTCTCAAAACTCCCCAACCAACTCCACTACAGAACTCTTGAAAATATTCAAAACAATCTGTTAGAGTTATTGGTACTGAAACGCCTCATCCACCCTCCAATTCCACAACCCCCACTCCCTCTACACTCAGAGAAACCTTTCTTACACAACCTACTATACCAATTCCCAATTACCATTTTGTCTCTTCCCCACATTTCCTTTATGTCTCGTCTATACTTATCAATCAGAAAACACCTTATGTTATAGCTCCCTTTCAAACCACTGTCCCTTACACAGTTTTTTGCATCTTTCTTCGCCGCTGGATCACAGTTATTTCAGTCTACTTCTCCCCTTCTCACCCCAGTGACTTTGTTGCCTTTGAAACTCTAATTTCCCAACTCCAGCCACCTTTCCTCATAGTTGGTGATTTTAACTGCCGTCACATCTTTTGGTGCTTTGATAGAACTGACTGGCGTACTTTAACTTCACTGTCAACTATTCCTACCCCTCCATCTGCCTGTCTTTGTTGTACAATCATGAACAGTAAGGTAACTAGCTGGCGAAATTATTTTTCCTCAATTACATCTATACCTATACCTGTTTGGCGTCGGATCCATTAACCATTAGGCAAACATTCCCCCATCCAGCCTCCGTCCTCCATATACGAGATACTCTCATCTCTGATCCTCTCCAAGTTGCTAATGAACTGGGTAACTATTTCAGCCAGGTCAGTAGTGGCTCTCACCTTTCTCCACACTGCTCTTCTATCACCAGGGGCCTGTTCACCACTATATGTTGATAATTTAACCGTCTTCGCCTCTGGCACATCCATATCAACTCTCCGCCAATTCTTTCAGTCTGTAATATCATCAGTATCCTCCTGGGCCACTGACCATGGCTTTCGCTTTTCTAACTCCAAATCTTTCTCCATTCTTTTCTCTCACGCACGAGTAGGTCCTAAACCTCCGCTCTCCTTAGATGGCGCTCCACTTCAATACCGTTCTTCTGGCAAATTCCTTGGCGTTATTTTTACTCCAAATTGTCCTGGCGAGACCACATTTTTTATACTAAAGAAAAAGTTCGCCGCCACCTCCGAATTTTACGGATTCTTTTCCATATATCCTAGGGGTCAGATCGCAAAACTCTCCTCTATCTTCATGTTACCTTGATCCTTTCCACTCTTGATTACGGATGCCATATCTACTCCTCTGCTTCAACCTTTCTTCTTGTTCATCTTGATACAATCCACCACTGCGGTCTTCGCTTAACCCTAGGCGCCTTCCGCTCCTCTCTAGTCGAGAGCCTGTACACTGCCGTCTCTCTCTCGACGCCGCACCCCTTTTCTCTCTCCGATGCTGTGCTCGATTCCACCAATGTTTAGCCCATACCACTCAAGTGGACCCAGAGTGGTAGACCCTTTATCTTCCCCACATATTTCAGGCTCACCAATAATGGAGATTTTGTATCCTTATTAAGCATTAAGGATTGGCCTATATCCCCTGACTCTCCTTTGATCACGGCTCCGACCATTGCTACTACACCCCCCTCCTCGACATGTGTTGTCAACTTAACCCAACCCGAATCATTTACCAAGGTTATAACTCAACCTTCAAAAGACACCCTTTCCTCTCCTGCACAATCATCATTTCTACCTTTTACTCCCTTATCACAACTCTTCAACCTTATTGGCCTCACCCGCACAATACTGTCTCACTCCACACCACTCCTTCCTCTTCCTGTCCTCGCCCCTCTACAGTTCCCACTTCTACTAATCATTTGAGACTATTTAGCTCAGCTAAACACACACACACACACACACACACACACACACACACACACACACACACACACACACACACACACACACACACACACACACACACACACACACACACACACATACGCACATACGCACACGAACACGCACACGCACACGCACACGCACACGTACACGCACACGCACACGCACACGCACACGCACACGCACACACACACACACACACTCACACTCACACTCACACTCACACACACACTTTCTCTCTCTGCAACCACAGATATGAATTTTTTTTGTGGATATTTTGTCTACTTCCAATTATTGTAATTTTTTTGGAGCATACCTGAACTCTGTTGTAGTAGTTGTTGTAGTAATACTAGTAAAATTAGTAGTAGTCGTAGTAGCAGTGCTGGTAATAGTAGTAGTATATAATAGTAGTAATAATTATAGTAGAAAGCAAAAGTAGTGATAGTAGTAGACAGCAGCAGTGATAATAGTTGTAAATAGTAGCACCAACAGCAATAGTATTAGTAATAGTAGTATTTCTGTTAGTAATAGTAGTAGTAACAATAGTAACAGTCATAGAAGTAGTAGCAGTAGTAGTAATAGCTGTAGTAATAGTAAAAGTAGTAGTGGTAGTATTGGTAGTAAGATTTTACATCATTAAATATATCATCAGATGAAAAAATCATCAGTAAACTAATCACTTTTGTAAGGGAGACAAAACTTTATGACCTTCTGTAGCTTTATAGAATAAATAGGATCCATTGGCTTAATAACCTTGGCCACATGCCGCTGGTTGATAGCCAAGAAATCCAACAAAGAAAGAAAAGATCGATGGTGTTATTTCTATTATAAATATTATAATTACTATAATGTTATAAATATTAGTAACAGCAAAATAAGAAAAGGGTAAACGGGCGAGAAAGGCAGTACTCGTAACTGGCTCATTGGTTACTTAGTACAAGTGTAGCCATCTATGTGTAAAAACAATCAAACAAGTGCTCTCAGTGGGCATAGCACGTACGTACACGGCATGCCCGTCGGTACTGGGTTTATACTTTTACCAGAACCGCTTCTGTGTCCCCGAGTGATCGTCCTGTCTACGACAAAGACTGGTCAGACTGAAAATCTGCTCGCCTGCCTCGTCGGCTATGATGCAGTGGCAGTACAGTGCTACACTAGAGGTCATCGTAAGTCTTACACCAATATTGCCAAGATTAGCTTCCGTAGACATGACCTCCCCCATGAAGTTTATATTGGAGTGTCCTTCCCTTGCCGACCATATCGACCCCCCTTCCCTGTCAGTGTTAGAAATGTTAGCGTTTTGGCCACCCAGCCAAAGACTGTCGCTCCACAGCCCACTGTTTTTTGTGTGTCCAACCTGGCCATGGCAGTTCAAATTACTTTGCTCAGTCGCACGTGTGCTAATTGTGGTGTCTCCCATAATGTATTTTATAGGAGCTGCCCTACTTACAAGCACGAATCCGAGGTAGTAGTTTTCAGATTCAAACTAGGCCTCATTCTACGTGAGGCCAGACAGGAAGCACCCAAACGAAGGTTTTCTCTCTACCCATTCCAAAACTGTCCATCGCTCTGCTCCCCTCCCATCTTCTCAAGATGTCTCAGCATCTCCTCCAGCATCTCTTCACT